AAAAAAAAAAAAAGAAAAGAAAAGAAAGAAAAGAAAGGAAAAAGAAAGGGAAAGAAAGGAGAGTCGAAGGGAGACACGAAGCATCTCACAGACAGAGAGATGGAAATGGATGTCGCGAGAGAGACGGAGAGAAATAAAAGGATTGAATTGAGAGGGGATAATGGCGGAGAGAAGTAGAGGGTGGGAGAAGTGTGGGGAGGGGTTAGAAGGACGGGGAGAATTGAGAGAAAGGAGTAGAAGGAGATGGACGAACGGGTTAACGAACGAATAAGATAGAGACCAAGAGGAGCGTAGCAGAGTGTAAATTTTTATTTCAACGTCGCATCGCTGATGGTTTCTTTCTTTCCCTTGTATTCACGGCCCCGGTCTATCTACAGTCTTGGGACAATTGTTAGATTACCTTCGACTCTGCTAAAAATTACATTACCACTCGGAGATGTGGAGGAATGATTTTCGAACCGTGTTTCTGTGGATAACACGTGGGTTTTCATTTCTAAATAGATCATGGAATTTTGATGGAAAGTTGTTTGACGCAGCAAATTTCACAGCAGTGAGAACCATTATATTTTTATAAGGAATAAAAATTATTATACGTACTGGAAAACGATAGTCAAATATTTTACGTTCGTTTTTCGCAATTTTTACAGAGACATACAGTAGTTAAAACAGAAATTGCACAATTGATACTGAAAAAAAGATCTGAAAGATACAAATATTTTTTTTTGGAGCCAGCGTAGTACATAAATTCAATTACGCCAAATAAATTTATTGATATATGGCGTTTCTTGACGTTGATATCAACAAACGTAAAAGTGATTTTACTTAAATAAGTAATGCGAGAAAATAAGAATTACGAAAGCATAGTAATAAAAAAAAAAAAAATAAAATTTATACGTAACGCGTAAATAAACGAAAAAAACGAACTTGTTATAATTCATTTTTCGACGGCCGTTGATCGCTTCAAGTTGGCATGACGCCGCAATGAGCGTTATCGTGTACCAACGACCAGAATCGCACAAAGTGCATCGCGGGTCGTTTACAGTGTAAAGATTTTCGTGCGAAGGTTCGGGGCCATGTTTGGTATATCGTGCATATTTCCTGACCAATTCCGTGGCCGAAACGGATAAACATCACCCGTGTTCCGCGGTTTAATAAAGGGATACGCGTGTATGCGTGTGCGTGCGCGAAACACACGTGACCGCTAATGATACGCGGTGTACTTACACGACACAGCATCCAGCAGAGCATATTCGGTCGTGTACTTTTAGCGCCGCGTTTCCACGTAGTTAACACGCGCTCCGATGGGGATAGAGAGACGTTTTGTTAATTTATTGCACGATGTCGACTCTTGTTTTGCCAGGGAGCCGTGCTTCGTCGAAATATCACCGAACGATAGAGTTCCCTCGGCTCGTTGAGTCTTCTGTTCCGAGTCTTCCTTTCGATGTTCAGCCCGTGGTAGAACGAGCGAGTTTCGCGGGATTCACCGAGTGAAAGATCGCTTTGGCACTCTACGAGGTGGTGCCCTAAACACTACAACGGTCATGCACGCGGAAATCGAATTTACCTTTGTGGAAGTTACCTTGAGAATGTACGCGAGTAAACGTACGAAAGTATTTGAACGCTCGCCATTAAAAACCCTTTACACAGACATAACATTTTACGTTGTTACGAAACTGCGCGGTGAACTTTGTTAGTCTTCGTTAGAACACTTCATTGTCGTAACAACATACTCGCAATAACATATTTGAGACAAATTCGAAAGGCATTTACCGTGCGAGTGAATTGTACTTTCTGGCGGTGATAAAGTTCAGATCGAAGTTTGACTCACGATACTGTACAAAGAGTAGTTTTAATCCTGCTACGTTCTTTCGCGATAACAAAAGTATCTTTTATTTGGATTGAGAAATCGCTATTGTGCTTGCAGTTTTCTTCAAACTCTTTTCCTTTTTGTTTTCATTTACTAAGAGCGAGATAAAAATTTTTAAGGAACGTGGTAAGATTAAATATGTGTTATTAGATTGGATTGTGTTGCAGATGAAATGGTCAGAATTCTAACAAAAGTTTCAAGGTTTATTCGTATTCGTAATATGAATCAAACTTCGACTCGTCAGATTCGATAGATTATATTTGATAATAATTATCCTACAATTAGAAAGTTTTCGTCGTTCGTTGTTGATAATTGTTTGCTCCATTTTTCACGTTTCTATTTTCTATGACTGAGGGATTAAATGTTCTCTTAATTCTGGGAAACTTGTATTGATGTTACGAGTAACTTTTACTTGGTTCTTCAAGTCTCGAATCGACAATACCTTTAGTTACTAAATTCCGAGTGATTTTACGCGTTTGTGAAATCATTTCATATACAACAGAACGATCTAATAATTAATCACGAATTGTAATACCGTGCAAGAAATTTCTACTGCGATCAATAAAAAACGATATAATCAAATCAAACTCAACGCCGTTTTAAACTTTAACAGCTTCGTAAACAGCTTTTAATGAATACGCCGAGTCGAGGGAACAAACGAAATACAAAAGACAAAAATACAAATAAAAAGGAAAAGCAAAAAGCAAAAAGATAAAAAAGAAGGAGAGGAAAAGAAAGAAAGCACAAAATCTCCTGCTGTTCTTTTTGAGAAGCTTTGTTCAAAAGTTCCCACGCAAAACACTAGGGTCGTAGTTTTGTTCGAATTTTTGGAAACGAGTGGTTTTGCTCAACCCTTTCTCTATGAATTGGCAAACTCGTTTCATAAGGTTTCTCTCTCTCTCTCTCTCTCTCTCTCTTTCTCCCTCTCTCCCTCACTATGAACACGCGTAATTTGGCCACGCTATTCACCAGGCGAATTTCTCTTTTGCACGAGGCGGCCTTATGGCCGTGGAATGCGAACGAGACGCTTTTCTTCTTTCACGTGGACAGATGGCCGATGTGTCGCGGCGGTGTTTGCGCGGTTTTTTTCATTCTCTTTTTATTTTTTTTTTTTTATTTTTTTTACCGGGCTGCCATTAAGGCTGCTGCACGACGACGACGACGACGATGATGATGAGGATCGGACTCGGAGACACGGCGAGGCATTTATAATTTACACTGGTCGTCGCGTTGGCTACTCGTCTCTAGCGATAGGGTCAAGCGTATGGTGAAAAGTTTTGAATCTATCTTTACGTGCGAAAAAATCGAATATACTTCTGCCGATTTTTTGAGGCAGACTCGAATTTAAATTTAAATTGAATTTCGAGAAGGACAATTGGTAGAATATACTCGAGTAAATCACTGAATAGGTAATTGTAGTTTCAACTTACAACTAGAATATTTTATTTCTGAATATTTGTGAGAGGCAGCGATTAAAAGTCGTTGGAATTTTGGTCCAAAGAGCAGTAATGCAGATACATCAATATAGCTTTACTATATAACATTATTACTATAAATATTTTATATTACAAATTATTTATTTATTACTACAAGTATATCATTATATTATTATGAATAATAGTACAGAATTCTAAGCGCAATCGAAGAATAATAGATGTATTAAAAAATGTAAAGTAAACGCACAAAAATAAAATTGGATGAAAATTGGGAACGAAATTAAACTTCACGGAATTTTATGTCTCAAATTTAATTCTGCTTGTGCTGTAAAAGGTCGTAAACGCATTATCTCAACACACATGCCTCGTAAATATAGAAAATGAAATGCGTATTGCATAATTTCTTTCTCTGTCTATCAACGTCTTCGAGTGAAACTTTTCTGTCGAATCAAATAAATAGCTTGAACCCATCGTTGGTCATTACGTCGTTTCGTCGAGTTTTTGCACATCCGTGTCCTTTTTTTTTTCGTCGTTCTCCGATTGTCCAGCTTACATAATATCAATCTCTCGGCCCCGATGAGACCCGAGTTTGTGCTTGGCTGCTGCCATCCTGAGCGTAATCTCCATGATAAATCACAGCGCTGGCTATTTCTGTATCTCGCTGTTTTCTCGCGCGGCGAAAGAATTTTCTAGAGAAAAATGTGGAAGAGCCGCGGTGTCGTGTGCGTTTCGTTCGAGCGTTCTTCGCTTGGATTTCACTTTTCTAAGCAAACGGCTTTAACATTCCTTCTGGACGTTGAGAACACTTCAGGTTACCAGAAAGATGACAAAGGTCAGTTCTTCTTCTTCTTCTTCTTCTTCTTCTTCTTCTTTTTTCTTTTCTTTTTTTTATAAAGTTCTCTAGATTTGCGAACTCGGTGTATCCTGGAGTGCTCCAAGTGGGCTTTCTCTTCGGTTTGATAAGTTGAGGCGGTTTTCGGAGGTTCTCCGAAGTTTCACGGAAGATTCTATGCTGTGTTATTTATTTACAGAGTTCGTACGTACGTGCGTACGTGGTTTCCTTTCGCGAGTGTTCCCTGGATGCTTGTTCTTCTTTGAAAAAATTTCGGAGCAAACATTGCGCGTTTCTTTTTCTGGACGTTACGTTATTTCGTAGAATTCTTTCTCCGAACGTCTCAAGCATCTGTTTTGAAACTGTGTTCCTTATCTTCTCACTCGGATGATTGTCAAGTCTTTTCATTTCCGTTGCCTCAAACAATCGAAAACAATCTTGCGAAACTCCCTAGTTTCGTGATAGATTTTTCAAATTATCCATCCGTTTAGTCGAAACAATTTTCGATAAACGAATTTTTTTAATATTCTCCGTATTCATTTCAACAGTTGCAAACTTTCTCATTTCTTACACAGAAATAATTTAATAGAGTATTTATTAATTTATTATGCCTCAAACAATTTTGAATAATCGAATTTGAGTGTCGAAACAATTTTGAATAATCAATATTTTCCGTATTTATTTCAAACAATCACAAACATTCTCATTTCTTACACAGGAATGATTTCATAGAATATTTATTAATTTATTAATTTATTGTACTTCTAGATAGTCACTGTATACTACGCGTTCTACACTTTTCAAACACTTCTACACTTTTCTACACTTTTCAAACAATTTTCAATTATTAAATATTTTAATATCCTTCATATTTATTCCGTTAACAGTCACAAACATTCTCATTTCTTATACAGGAATCATTAAATGGAATATCTATTAATTTAATAGAATATTTATTTATAGAATTTGTACATACGTACATACTTTCTTTTGTGAAAGAAAAATTCTTTATTATTTTCGATTTCGCGTGGAAAATTTAAAGGCAGAGAAACGCGTGTAATGCACGAAAATATATAAACCCCAGTTTATTATAAACATAGTTACCAGTCACAACATTCTGTTTAACGGAGCAAAACAAACCTCTCTGCTCGAACATTTTCTCTACGATACGTTCTAACTGAGAAAATTCTATTTCCCGCGTATTTTCATAATTCGCGGTCAAGGCAGCGTTACAACACCAGGGGGTTTCCCAGCGTTCAATACCCCTTTCGTCTCTCTCCCTTTCCCATTCAGAAAAGTCTCACCATCGCTTTACTCTAACAGTCTCTCTATCGCGGCTCGATTGGAAACTGGCGATAGCTCGTAAATTGGCTGGTCGCCGGTTCGATGCTCTCGTTCTCGCATTGTTACATTTTCGAATTTATTCGAGGTCGTGAACGTGGCGTGCGTGGTTCGGTGGAGGCTGATTCTCTCTCTCTCTCTCTCTCTCTCTCTCTTTGGAACACGCGGGCTGCGTTAACTGAAATCGTAACATAAACTCCGCGCTTTTCGAACACTCTGCGTCTCCAGTCCGGTTTCCTTCTCTCTCTCTCTCTCTCTATCGGTGGAGCGAGAATCGCTTCGTGTCCAGGCGAAGCTTTAATGCCGCAGTAAGTTATGTCGGGAAGACGGAACGTGACTTTATTCCGGCATGGCCGTGTGTACGCGCGCTTTAACGAGTCGTGTTCGCCGCCAGCGAGCGCTTTTTTAAACCAACGGCCGCGCCGGCTATCTCTCGGAATTCGCGCGATGCGAACGTGGATCGCGGCTCAACTGACCGACCGATTGGTTTGTCATTGCAGAAGCTGAACATGGCTACGCTTCGACGATGCCGATGCCCGATGATATGCGGACGGTCACAAAAAGGCCAAAGACGAAAAAATCCCAGGGCAGCAGGTTGGTATCAACGCGAGGCCTGGGCTTCTCTGCTCACATTCGCACATTTCTCTTTTTCTTTTCGTACTTTTCGTTCCTCGCTTACTCTCTCTCTCACTCTCTGATTTATCTCTCTTTTTTCTTTCTTTTTGTTTTCGAGAGGAAGCGATTCGAAAAATACCAATTTCGGGTAAAGTAGTTGACATTAGTTGAGCAAGAAAGTTCTGTTGTTCCCTTTGCGATAGTTAAGAATAATACAGAAATGTAGTTTTCATGTACCAGGAAGCTATTTTCATTTTGATGAAAATGTCGTGAAACTTTGTTGGTTACGTTACAAGCGACAATTAATGAATATATATTATTCAAATAGATATAAGTACATTTATAGTGTCTATACTATTGTAGTATCTAAATTAGTATCTAAATACTATAGTGGCTGTGCTATCTATAGTAAATAGATGTTAAACAGGTTCGGTTGTTTGTTTAAAAAAACACATCCGTTAAAGTAACTATTGAATACATTTTTATCCACACGTATTTCTCTACACGTTTTCCCCTGGCACAAGAGAAATGACAGAACTTTCTAAGCGAATTTTTGTGTATTTATAGAAAATGATGCAAAAATGCAAAATATATATGCATATCGTTTTCTTTTTTTCCAAGTACGTTTTTTTATGTATGAGTTTGAGCTCGACGAGTTATCGCATGCATACGAGTTTAATAATCAGTCAAAATCGTAACAACACGCCGTTGAAAGTGTATCTTATCAACACACTGAAGGCCGCCACATTTGTTTTGAACGACGTTGATACGAAATGTATTTTAATGCGGTTTCATCGCTTGTTTGTGTCATACACGATTGCATGAGGTCATTTAACTCGTTTTAGAAGCGGTCATGAAAAACAGAGCCGAAAGAATAACACGCGTGTAAAAAGATTTGGACTGTCACAACATCGAACTCGAATGTAATTTTCAACATTTAAAATTGGCCTGAAATTTTCGAAATATAAAAGCTTATTAAATTCTCTTTTCACGTACAATTTTCTTCGCTTCAACTTCTTTTAAAGAACCAAAAGACCCTGTTGTTTTTTATGCGAGAGATTCTGAATTGTACACAGTTCAAATATAGAAAAAAGGAAAAAAAAATAGAATACTTGAAGTGTTAATTCTTTCTGTAACATATTTACTACGTAAAATAATTTTCTATCGAGTAATTTTCTATTCTTATTCTTATGTAACATGTTACAGAATTTTCGTACTATAGAACATCTAAATTTGCATGAAACTCGGCAATCTATTCGTTAGATAAATTATTATATTTACGGAGCAATTGCTCCTTTTCGTTTTTCACCAGTTTTAATTATTCGAGTGTACTCTCGCGTATTCAGAAAGAATTAAATTCTTTCTCGAAACCTTCCTATATTACACGTGCATGTAATGGAGTGTCTTGTTCCACGGCCAATTTTAATTTTCGTTGGTCGCCGACGTTTTTCCTTCTCTTTCTTTCATTGAGCAAAGCAAACGATATTTCATTTCGCTTTGAAGTCTAACAAGAACGTTCTTTTCCCATTGCAGGACAACTCATAACGAGCTGGAGAAAAATAGGTGAGTACTGCATTTATCTCATTAACTTAATCCTATTCCAACTTCTCAACCGTTTTGTTTTGGCCGCGTAATTAGAGAACATAGCCTACCAAGACTGTGCAAACTCGCCAGTATTCACCGAGAATGAAACTTAGGTTCTTTTTTTTTTTTTTGTCCTTTTAATGCAACCTTCTTCTTGTCTCATTCAATAGAAATTCAAATTAATTTTTGCGACAATAAAGATTTTATTTTACTCAGAAATCCAGCGGTTATTTCGGAACGACATTCGATATCGATATCGATTAATTTTGTTTCTTTAAGTGTGAGTACAAAATAAGTGATTGATTATTTTATACGTAATTTTCTAGAATTCCATTACTGCTAATATAAGAATTGCAAACAGACAGATAGAACGTTCGTAGTTTTTATAAAACTACTTTAATTCAAGGCCCGCGAAGCAAAATTTACTTAAGCTTCGTAACACATCCGGCAGATAATTAATTACTCGAAACGGTTAATCTTCGAATACGGTATAACAATCATTTAAAATTCCGTTGATAGTATTACATCCAATTATACGGAATTAGCTAACGATTCCAAATTAATTCATAGCCGATCGAGGATCGTGAAACGAAATTTATTTAAAAGTCACAACCTGCGTGTAATATTTCGTACGTAATTTTCTAGTAAGCAGTTTGAAGATAATAAAGATAATCTCCACTCAAAAAAGAAAAAAAAACAAAAAAAAAGAAAAAAAGCAGGGAATGAAATTCAGCGGAATAGAATTAAACAGAGAAGAATCGCGGTGGTTGATGCGATATTCTCGCTGGTCGCGCGGCTGCAAAAGCTGCAAAAGAAAAGGAGAATTAGAAGCGGGGCACGGTGAACGAGAGGAGGGTGAACAGTTGGCGATGCCGCGACAAATGATCGTCCCCGGTCGTGTGTTAAATTGAAAGCAATTTACGGTTATCTCGTGTTGTTATTCCCGACGTACAAAAGGGCTGGGTCTGTTAATTAACATGCGTGATACGTACGATTAGATGCGACCCTTTTTATATATACAGAAGAGAGCGGCCAGGAAAGTTCGAAATGGAGCGGAACAATGGCCGACGAGACGCTCATCGGTGATGGAACAGGTTTCCTAGGGTGCCTGCCTGCACTAACCCCGATTGTCGACGTGATTTATAAGTCGCGGGACCATTCTCTTCCTCTCCTGCTCCTCTTCGTACTTGCTTCTCTCTCTCTCTCTCTCTCCTCTCTCCGGAATGCACGAAAGCGAAACGGTTCGCTGGATGGTCACCGACCGCGTCAAACACCGCGCAACTTTTGATTTGTTACTTTTCACGGACGGCTACCGGGGAACGAAACCGATTACTCGGAGAGATTCCCTTCAGCTGGAATTCTGCGATTTGTGTTTTTGGGGAATGTTCGACAAGAGGAGAGGTCTCTCGGGAAAGAGGGAAGATTTGGAATTGTACGGAAGGATCTTGACGACACAATTTGTAGCAGAGAATGTTTCAGACGGAGGCATATTAGTTGATGCGCAGATGAACTTTGCCCTTTAAAATATAATACAGTCGTATATTTTTCAACACACCAGTCGACGACGATTCGAAAAATTATTAGTTTAGTAGATGTTTCAACTTTATTTTTATAAAACCTGTTGTATGATAGATGAGAATGATATTGACAACAAGGTAACACTTCGCTCGTCTTTCGTACGATAGATTTTGTAAAATTAAAATCAAAATGCTGTATCGAGCAATTTACATAAAACGTGCATCGGCAACGTTTGTTAACAAAGTTTCTTCACATCTTCAAAAACAACAGAGATGTTTGAGGCGATCATGAAAGTTACTCCTTGCATGAAAGCATGAAATGTATATGTTGTGTTGGAACTTTTGTTGGTCTAACTTTCTCATTCTGAATCTCAGTTTTAAATCAGCGAGACAGTGTATAAAACAGCCTTCGACAATTTTCTATACACGAATCATGTAGAAAATTTAATTCCACAAATCGATCCATCGTCATCATAACTGAAAGTCTTGCGTAGTCGACGAGTTGATCTTTTCACAAGGCACGATCATGGTGTTCCACAACTTTCAGCAGTTCAACAGTTCAAATAGCCTCTTAAGTACATTAATTAAACGACAAATTGGTAACAACAGTGAAAGATAATTCTTGGAAAGAGGCAAACTTTTTGATTCCCTTTAAATTTTCACCATTTCGTTTTACATCGACTGCCACGACTGCCAACGTTTCCAAACAACAAACATCCCGACATTCTTAACGACGCTCTTCAAAAAATATTTATCGACACCGAACTAACGAAATCTTGATCGATTGCGAGCGATTTCAAAGTTCTTCGTCGCGTGTTTCGTCGATCCTCGGCGACAGGGGCCGACAGAGGTAAGGGCAGAGGGGCGGAAATGTGCATAAACGTAGAAAAAGAAAAAAAAAAAAAAAAAAAAAAAAAAAAAAAAGAAAGGCTTTGTTGTTCGCTTGTACACCTTTTTGCTGCACGCCAGGAACAGCCAGAGAACTCACGGTGCACACGGTGTACCCGGGGCACACACGGGACGCGCACAACCCGGAGACACACACGCTAGGGGATGATGGTATATATACGTATACATATATGCGGTGCAGGGTGGAAAAGGGAGAGACAGCAGCAGGGTGCAGGAGAGACACACGGAGAGAGAGAGGGAGAGAGGAAGAATTGTGGGGAGAGAGGCTATCGATTTTTTTTTGTCCCCAAGCGACGAAAGCACCGCAGCGCAGGAGGGGCGGGAGGAAGGGGTGGTGCGTGGCACAGAAACAGACAATGTAAAAGCCCACACCGCCAACCGCCCCGTTACACCACGTAGTTACGTTACATAACGTAACGCAGCCACGAGACATTCATGAAATCCGTGGCACACGAGGCTTTTCCTTCTCTTCACCACCAACCTCTTTTCATCCACCCACCGGCCCCGCTATTTTCGAGTCGCGCCGCGCGAACCACGGTTTTCCCTCTTCTCGCGTCCTCGACGTCAACCCGCGGACGTTTCGAATGTTTCCACCCGATGTGGATGGAATATGTTTGGAGATGTTTGCCGAGTCCCGTGTCGTGACAAAACCGCGAACGAACAAGTTCGAGTTCGGGTTTTCTGTTTCCTTCGCCATGTGTTCGCGCGATGACAATGGAGTTTAATTCTCGAAGATTTGTATTCGGAGATATAATTCGGAGTCGGAAGAATTCGGTTTCGAGTAGTTTGGGAATTTGATTCCCGTGTGTTTGAATTAATTCTATCTACGCGTGTTTAGAACTCTGCCAAATTAACGCGTTAAAGAGTCTGCAGATTTACTATGGTAAGCTGGTTGTCCAGTAGAATCCAAATAATGGTAGATATTTGCCAAGCAAACGATTATTACTAAATGTTCATAAAAATTTGTATTTTGACGAAAACCTGGACGAAACGATTATTTTATTTACGTATTGAATTTTTATAGAAAGTACTGTACTTTTGGACGTCTCGTTAATACATTCTGTGCATTTTTATAACCTTCAAATTATTATCACAGAAATTTTACTTCTCGAGACGCGCCACGATACTCGGATTCGTTACGCTTGAATTTGAATAATTTCGCTTCAGCTTCTTTAAATCCCGCGGCGTTCGAATTAACATGACAAAATTTCAAAGTAATTCTCGCCGTGGCGTGTTCGCAGCGGCAAAAACTTTCTTGAAATTCATATTACATTTACTCTTGAAGAGCCGCGGTGATGAAGAAAGTACGAGTATATGTAACAAGAAACTTCGCAGTTGTTACATCTCTCTGTTACTTTTCACTCGATTGTGAACTCTTTCCGTACTCATTCTTCATTCTTCTATTCTTCAACACTTTTTGCTGAAGATTTCTTTTCCGTGACTAAATTTAACTTGTTAAGGACACGTTTCGAATACATTCTTTTTATTACTTATTTCGAATGTTACACTTACTGCATTGTTCAAATATTTCATTTTTAAAATTAATTTGAAATTTACAGTCAGTTTAATTTATTATAACATGTTTCGAATACAGTTTCCTTATTACTTATTTCGAATACTATGATTAACGCAGGTCTTTGTATATATTTTATATATTTTCGCACGTTACGTGCATTATTTTTTTACATCTTCAAATTTTCCATAAATGCAGTCTCGTAATATAATATTTATATAATGTAAATAAAATTTATAATTTATATTAATTTATAATATATAAATGAATTTCGTACAATTCTCAGTAGAGTCGAAATAACAGTGAGATGTTGGTGTTAATATACACATCGACGCGAAACGCCGGATTGCAAGGAGATCTTGGCGCTCCACGCGAATTACGATGCAAAAACAAGTCGGATAATCATACCCTAGAAAACCGATCCGCGTTCACCGCGGCTCTTGATTTACGTTTCTTTCAACCTCAAATAGAAGCAGTCTTTATACTCGATAGAATTACAAGCAAAATGGGTCGAATAATCACGCTCTGGAGAACTGATCCGCATTCACTGCGCGGCTCTCGATGTCCGACCGTGTCGCGAGCTATGAAACGTTCAATGGCTCCTACTCACTTCGATCCTCTGTTAACCACGATCCACCCACGATCCGGGGATAACAGCAGTCCCCAGTTCTTCGATTGGAAACAGATCGATACTGGCTCGGAGAGATTTTCAATTTTATCGTTGAAAATTTCTGGAGTATGTAAATGTCGCACGTTTAATAATCTGGCGGGTATACTATACTCGTGGCTGACGTCGAGAATTGAGAAAGAGAAATTTAATTCTTCATTCTTCATTCGAGGTTTGAAGTCGAAAGGACTGGGCAAAACTTGGTAATTACCAGAAACAGCAACAAGTTGCAACGTATAATTATTTATGATATTGCGAGTTACTCTTCTTCCGAGAACTTCTCGAATAAATTTTCTTGTTGAAAACATTCGGGTCGATTGTTTCGTGTGTCCAATATCGATGAACAATACGTAATCAGTGAAAAAAAGTAGGAAACGGAGTTAGGCACTTAACCACTTGCCCTGGCAACTGATTGCGGACCATAACGAACGACCGAATCGTACGCAATAACTCGTCGCTCTCTTTTCGAACTCGTCTGTACTGATACCACTGGATGGAAATGATACTTAAACACACTTAAAACTGTGAAAAAAAAAAATATTGCAATTACGGGAGTAAAAGTTCGCTTTCTCGACGTGCGTGGCAAGTCATTCCAACGCGCAAGAGGTTAACGTTGCCGTTTGCTAAAGCAATTTGAGAACGTTGTGCCGTTCCGGTGAGACAAGTTTCCAGAAACAATATAGCTCCGGCCTTTTCGTTTTTTCACGTGTGTGTTTCCAAAGTTTCGACATCGCCCGCGTGTGCACGTGTACACGGCAATTTCGAATCGGCGATAGTATGTCATCAGAAACACGAACAGAAGGCCTTACGGGCGGGAGGGTGCATGCAAAGTGACCGAGCGTTCGCGGTTCACGCATGGTTTCAGGGCTACGCCAGGGCCGGGCTACGGCGTATAATGACAGGAATTTTAATTAATTGCTATAATAACTACGCGCCGCGTCCACCGCGCGGACAGTGAATTTGCATTTGTTTTCGCCGACACAGATCGCGGAACGATATTCTTCTCTGCGGCTGCGGCGAGAATCGCTCTCCGTCGACCGGAAGTAGCCGGGAGCTGGAACGAAATGGAAATTTTTCGACGATCCGCCAACGATAAACGATAAGCTCTCGCGATAACCTTTTTTTCACTTCAACGTTTTCTCCGCCGTTCTCTTTATTTCCTTTTATTTAATTCATCGTTCCCCCCCCCCCCCCCCGTCTGTCGCGTCCGTTTGGTTCTCGCGTTGCTAAATTTTGTTGGAACACGATATTCGTTTATGTAACACGCAACGTAATTAATCTGTTGCACCTTCGTAATGTTACGAAGCATGCGTTGGATCACAGGTAGGAGCTATCTACAACTTGGATTTCTTCGGAGCATATGTTTACGTATTTTACAACATAGGGACGGACTTTTGTCCAGAGCGCGAGGAATTATGGCAATGGCAAAGTAAAAGGCCGAACTCTTATTTTATTAGCGAATACATTTACCAAATATAATTTTAAATTCACTATATTATACCACGTTAGCAGATGTAAATTCGAAAGATATTAATGAGTTGTTTTGGCAAAAGGCTGAGTTTTCGTTAAAAATTTCATTGACAAAATGTTCTCCGAATGTTTCAAATATTGGCAGAGCGCAAGGTTGGATTTTTATTAAAATTTTACTAATAGAATTTCTTAAATTTCCCGCAGTATAGTCGGTAAATCAATATCGGAATTTAAAGCTGATGTTACATTTCGATAGACATTATTGGAGTACAGATAGTTGATTTTCTTATCCAGTGTAATTTTATTTTCTTAGACGTGATTTTACTTATTTTTCTATAATAAATTCTACATTTCGAAAGTGGAGAAACAGAGGCGAAGAGATGCGATACAGGGTCAATTAAAATTTGGCGACGATGTTAGATGTTAGATGAGAGTTTGACAATTTGCGCGATTTCTCCGGAACGAAATGATTGAAGTTCGAACGGCGGACTGTCCCGTGTCCTCCAGCGCGGATATCTCGTTACGCCAACAGTCGCTTCCGGTGGGAAAGATTCGTGGCTGTCCCGGAATTGATACGGAATCGCAACACGGTGTCTGCACGTTATCGAAACGATACGAGCGGGCAAACTCTTTGTCGTGCAGCAGTCGAGCGAAATTTAAGGATCTTTATTTTCTCGTTTCCTGAGCGATGCGCCTTGTGTCCCTGCCCCCGTGTAACAGGAATCTCTGAAATACGGGCCAGGAACTCGGTTTCCCAGATTTAATGGCAGTTTTATATATCACAGTCTCGGAAAACCTGCCACAAGAGCAACTTCTGCATCGTAATTCACCGAACAGCGTAGTGTTTCCCACGTGTCTTTCCCTTCCTTTTTTTCTTTTCATAAATTTACAGTTTACAGAGAATGGAATTTTATTAACAGTTCATCGTCACAGTGGTGGACAGTGGATCAAAGTGAAATTGCAGGCGTGTGTCGAGTGTGAGGGCTGCGTGCAGTCTCGAGGGACTCGCTTCTATTTATCACCATTGCAAATAGCGCGTTAATATCTCGTATAATACTGTGTTTTGATGGCAAACATTTACAGAAATCAGATTTTACTCGATCGCGGGAGTAAAATGAAAAACAGCCGCTCGAGGTCGCGGCTTCAGCTAATTCACGTTCGATTCATTTGGCTTGAGATTCAGATTCTTCGCTGTTTGATTCAGTTCGATTGTTCAAATGGAATTAACAATTGTTTGTGCCTGTAGATAATGCGGAGATACAAGAATTCGATGATAATAAAACTATTTAAATATACGAAGATGTAACGAAAAATTGACTCGAGTACAAGGTA